CATACATTAATGTGGTCTGCCTGTTGTTAGGTATACATTAATGTGTTCTGCCTGTTGTTAGGCATACATTAATGTGGTCTGCCTGTTGTTAGGCATACATTAATGTGGTCTGCCTGTTGTTAGGCATACATTAATGTGGTCTGCCTGTTGTTAAACATACATTAATGTGGTCTACCTGTTGTTAAGCAGAAACTAATGTGGTTGGACTGGTAACTTTAACTTTCCTTGGTATTGTTCTATGAGTAAAAAAAGAGAAAAAGAAGGGAGGCTGGAGGTGCCACTGGTAAGTCCTAGATTCTACATTTTTCTGTCTCTTGTTGCTTCTGTCTGTCTTTTTGCGTACACTAACTGGCCGCTGTCGCGTTGATGCGCTTCTCTTTCATCAAACGCCCTCATCATGTGGACTGCCTGGTAAGTTTCTATTTCCTTTAGTTTCGCTCTTTATGTAGAAAAGAGAAAAAAAATTAAAGGCGTAATTTGTTTCAAGATATGAACGAAATTTCAAACTACAAAAAACGGGGGATTGTTGGAGTCTTGGATCCAGTCATCTAATTTGTACAACACGTAATTTTGGTCAAAGTAGCCTCTGCTCTCTTTAATCATCATGACTCAGCAGTAATAGAAACCCGTACGTCTCTCCAATCAGACGTATAATATCATTGACTCGAAGCCTAAACAACCATTAAGGCCACACACTGTATACAATGGTGAAATGGTATGAGTTTAACGCCCCTATCAACACTATTAGGTTATTTAAGAGGCGGGACCTCCTAGTTTAACGTCCGTCTCCGATAGGGCCGAGCCAAGTGGGAAGTTCGTGTAAAGTGTCTTTCCCAAGGACACCACGTCGGACCGAGCTGAGGCTCGAACCCCCCAAACTCGCAATCTCACGATTACGAGTCCGGTAGCCTAACCACTAGGCTACCGACGTCACACACTGTATACTACTTCTTAACACCAAAATCTACAATGAAGTGATATTTTCTATTTGTTTGGTTTTTTTTGTCAAAGTATACCATTCAAGGAAAGAACTATTCAGTGTTGGGAATCAGTGCCAGTAACATAATCATAGAAATGACAAATTAGAGTGAAACGTCGGTTTCAAGCAAGTCCTCTGGATCGCTTTCTCTTTCCACCAATGTACAGGTTTACAGCCGCCGTTGGCTACTTCACTCTGTACCTCACTGGCTCCACACTCTCAGGCGACACATACCTCAACTTTTTCTTGTTGACTCTGATGGAGATCCCAGCTGGGATCATTCTTTACTTCGGCTTCAACAGGTAATCTGGAGGAATGTGACATGGTTTCCTTCTAACATGATTGTGTGTGAGTAAATACTGATCTAGAAATCTCTTTGGGCTAGCTGGGCAATCACGCATTTTAAGAATCATTTCTATATAGTCTGTAAGGCTATGAACCTGTCAGAAACCGTCGTTGATGCTTTATTACGCTGAGAAGGAAGTTGGGAGAGAGAGAGAGAGAGAGAGAGAGAGAGAGAGAGAGAGAGAGAGAGAGAAAGAGAGAAAGAGAGAGTGAGAGAGAGTGATAGAGAGAGAGATAGAGATGCAGAGAGACAGATATATAGAGAGAAAAAGAGAGAGAGAGAGAGAGTTATAATATATAT